CCTGGGCCAGCTTCACGCAGCCGGTGGCAGGCAGGTAGCAGAGCAGGCAGGGCAGCACCAGGGAGAGGGCGCCCATGAAGGACCAGCGGGCGCAGCAGTTTGAGCGGGAGCAGGAGCAGGGGTGGTCAGCGCAGGAGCCCTCATCGTCCTCGTTGGTGCAGTGGTAGAAGACACCCTGCACCAGGCACATGCACGTGCCGTAGTTGACCAGGGTCTGGGCAGAGCACAGGCACTCCTGGTTGCAGACCCAGCAGGAGGGCAACGTCCGCGGGGACGCACACTCTTTGCATTTACACTTCCCACAGGCCTCGCACAGCAAGAAGTGCTTGTCCAGCTCTGGTGGGAGCGACGGGCCCTTGAGGTCCAGGGGCTTGCAGTGGATAACCTTGGGCTGGATGCGCACAGCCCTTGGCGAGGCCTGGTCAGCCACAGGTGGGGGTGCCATGTGGTCTAAGAGCCGCTGGTCAGAGGATGTGCTGCTGCTGCTGCTCACTGAGCTGGGGCGCCCACTGAAGGAGATCCAGTGGTGGGTGACATCCTGGTCACAGCGGGCAGGCGTCGGGGCCAGCTCTGGGGCCCCACCCCGGGTCCGCTTAGGGCCAGTGGGGGGGGCCAGGCCAGGGTTGTCTATGTAGTCGTTCTCCACATGACTGGTCTTCATCTGGTCGATGGGCAGGATGGTGAGCGGGTGCTGGAGCCGGCTGTGGGGCACCCGGCTGTCAAGAAGGGGCTGGACCATGACTGCGCTGGGAGTCAAGGGGACGCTCGGTGGGATTGGGGGCTCCATGGGGCTGGAGGTCCTGGATTGCAGCAAGTAACAGGCTTCTAGGGGCCCTGGGGGGAGAGGAGTGGGGAGAAGGAAGAGAGAATGGATTCCAGGCATCAGTATGCAGCCTGCCAACCCCCCACCCCCCAAAATCAGGTCCTTGGGAGCCCAATTGAAACCAGAACTAAATTCCCTGAGTGGACTTTCCAGTGACTCCAAGGAGATGAGCACCACAACAATAATCAGTGGCAGAAATGACATTCATCGACACTTACGGTGTGCCAGGCCCCGTCCAAACATCACAGACATGATGAACATTTCACAATCATCCCGAAGAGTAACTACTATCCCCCCGTTCCTGGTTACGGAAAACCCATGTTCAAAGCAGCTTGTCTAAAGTCACACAAAACTGCCATTAGCCGGACTTAACCCTCTTCAGTCTGAGCTCACTTAAGCAGTCCCTGTGAATAGAAGGTAAATAGATCCAGAATCACAAGCTCCGGAGTCAGACCCGGGTCTGAATGGTCTGAATTCTCTCACCTTGGCCTAGCAAACTCGTTAAGAATTGGTTCTTTAATTTCTATGCCTTGGTTCTGTCATCTGTAAAATGGGTTCTTGTGAGGATCAAATGAGAACACCGTATATTCAGTTTCTAGCATACTGCCTGGCATATGGCAAAACCTCAACAATTTGTCACTGTCCACAAGTAACAGTTTACATTTCCTGAGGACTTGGAGGCGCTACCTGCCAGGCCTTGTGCAGGGTGCTGAGAACAATGCGTTGCACACAGACAGCCCCTGCATGCTCCCAGGGAGTTTATCAGCTGGATAAACAAAAGCCTTTATTTCAGAATTCACAAGAGAAGGAAAAGGCTGTATGTGATACCTGCACATCCAGGATCTTAACTTATTACTACCACCTCTGAGAGCTGCCGCCTCCAGTGACTGACGAAGCCTGGGTTGGTGAACTTCTGACAACGTGGATGGGAAATCCTCTGAGGGGCAGTCACATCACCCATTTCCAAGTGCTGAGCTGAACATTCAGCCTAAATGCTATTTACTAGAATAGCGAAGCCAACCCTGGATCAGTTTCTAATTTCACCGAGAGAGTGCAATTTTACGTTGGAATCTGGCCAGAGATTCAACTGCAGTGCCTGACACGGAACCCCAGGAAGTCACTTAAATCAAAGAGCGGAAACGGCTTGGTTCAAATTTAGAAAGTGCACATTGTTTTCTATTAGAAGTGCCATTTCCTTGCCTGCTGACCTTTACATTTGGAATTCGGCTGGAGATCAATTTAAAGAAATAGCAGCAGAAGGCCAAGACCTCTGCTCAAGGGGACACGATTTGGAATCCAAGGGAAAGATTAGACTCTGGGAAGATTCCACCCCAATCTTAAGAATCCCAGGAGATGGGAGCAGGGGAGGATTCGAATGGGAAAATAACAGTCGTAAAAACACTTTTTTGGATTAACGCATTAGGCTTTGGTAAATGCTTTTCCAATATGCTAATGATGTTCTAATTAAGAGTGCTGATCCTGCCCCTCTTCTGTTAGATTTGTCTTGCCTCAAAGGTGCTGCCCAAGAAGGGGATGTGGACAGATTTCCTCTTTTAGTTAACTCCATCCCTTTGGACTCCACAGTTGGTCCATTCTAATATTCCAAGCAGAGAATGACATCTGACTTCTGGGACCCACCCATGCTTGTCTATAATAAGGAGTAGGGGGAGGGGGGGGACACGGTTTTCAGGGCAACTCAGTTATCCTTCCCCTACCCGGAGAAAATAGTTTGATCAGTAATAGTTAACGGCTGGTCAGTGGCATGGTGGTTCAGGTGGCTGGAACCCACGTGGCCAGCTATGTAGTTTGAGTCTTGGACCTCATGGGGGCTTGAAAAACTCATTGAGTGTCTGTGTGTGTGTGCATACCTGAATGCCCAAGAGGAAAATGGAGAAGGGACTGTGGAAGGCCATCACCCTCATCTGGCAAGAAGACACACATGCTAGGTAGCAAATTTAAAAATAAAGAAACACTTAAGATTGCTAAGGAAGAAGCACTTCCTTAGTTGCTTCTAGCTTGCCTAAAATAATGAACTAGCTCTAGATGAAATGTTTATGAAGAGGCTAGATAAAAAGGCAGTTAGTAGGGCCGGCAGGTGGCATGGTGGTTAAGGTACTGGACTCCCACATGGTCAACCATGGTTTGAATCACAGACCTTACAAGCTTAAATGTCACACAGAGTGCCATGTGCATGTGCCCCAAATCTCAAGAATGGAAGAAAAGGGATTGTGGTGTGGTCATCACCCCTAGAGGTGATTTCTCACTTTCCCAATCACGGTCTCTCTCTCTCTCTCTCTGGTGAATGCATGCACTCTATGGCAAAAACCTAAAAAGGAAGCAGGGACCGGCATGTAGCATTAAGGTCTAGGTGCTGAATTCCCACATGGCAGACCATGGTTCCATGGTTCAAGTCTTGGACCTAGCAGCTTGCTTTCTCCCTCTCCCTCTGGTCAAATTAAAGAATAGTAACAACAAATAAAATTAAATGAAAACTTCTAAAAAAAAAAAAAAAGGCAGCCAAGGGGCTCTCATCTGTGTATCATCTGTACCACTAAATGTAAAATGCTTCAGGTCTTTTTCTACAGGTTCAATGTTAGGTCAACTGATATTTCTCATTCACACAAGGCATTAACTATTGGCTTTTCTCCTCTGGCCCTGCCAGCTGAGAAGATGCTGGTATCTTTTTACAGGCTTTGTCTTTCCCGTCGTGGAGAAGGTGCACCTAGTGGCAGTGCACACCCCGGTGTTCTCTTCAGATGGAACCAGAGTATGGCCCTTGGATGGGAGATGTCCTTCTGGTGGAGTTCACCTTAAATGTCTGGCAGGTCTCCCGCGGAAGAGCAGTCGTGTGCCACGGCAGCCTCCCTTGGTGAACCTGTGGTCAGAGCTAGTCAGAACAAGGCAAGCAAGGCAAGCAGGCATCTATGGAGAGGTTTTCCAAGGATGAACTCCTCGGAATGCTACTTCAGCCCGCCCACTTTCTACAATAAATGAGTTTGGGGTCTAGTAACCAGCCTAGGGACTTTGTCTGGAGAAAAAACAGTAACTTGCTTAGGAGTAGAAAAATGCCATGGATAAGATTCTCTGGTACCAGTCAAGAGGTGTCTAAGCCAGAACCCTCAAAGCAAAGACTTGGACTCTGGAAGTTCAGGTCAAGAATACTCGGGGTTGGGAACCAGCAGTTAGTGTCATGGCTATGTTGCTGGACTCCCACATAGTCGACCGCGGTTCATGTCCCGGACCCGGTGGCTTAAAACTCACGCCGGGCGCATGTGCGTGAGTGCCCAAGAGCCCGAGAAGAGAATGGAGGAGAAGGGATTGCGGTGTGGCCATCCCCTCTGGGGGGTGATTTCTTGCTTTCTGTCTCTATGTCTCTCTCTGTCTGTCTGGCGAGCGCACGCGCCCTACAGTGAAAACCTCTCCAAAAAAAGAAAAAAAAAAAAAAGAATATTTGGGGTCCTGCGAACAGGACGTCAGGAGCAATTAGAAGATTCTGCTGCTCCATGTAGACAGGTTTCCTCTCTCAGGACCAGGGTTGGAACTGGTCACATTGTGGGGAAAGTACAAGTACCTCCACCCCAAGCAGATTATCTACTTTCCTTTCCCTAATTCCATTACTGGGGTTCTCTGAAAACAGCTGCTTCTCCTCTGGATGAAGCAAAGGACATGGGCAAGGCTCAAGGGTTTGAACAGGTCCCGGAAGCGGGTCTGTCTACAGCCGCTGCTCCCACCCTGGCTTCCTGGTGGGACTTTTCCATCCACTGGGGAATCCCGCTAAGGAAGGCAGGGGGGAAGCAGCC